AGATTAAAGAAGAAACATTTAACAAATACTTTTCTTTTTTGATTTTAAACAATTTCACTATCAATATTATATATAATCTAATTAAAACACAAAGAAAAGAAAGTGTACTACCAAAAACAATATTATAGATAAATTTTATGAAACAATGTAAAATATTTGTTTTGGTTAACCCGCAAACGATAAAAACGTGTTGGTCAAATAAAACTTCCACAATAACAATAGTAGTAATCATAATCTTGAATTAACTCATTTTAAAAAAAATAGTTACGTATTCATAATGATGAGGATTATTTTTGTTTTTAATTTATAGGCTCATGGAGTAATAAAAATACCATATGAACAAAGGGGTATCATGATTCATGGAAACATTCCTTCGCGTGCCGTAGCTTAGGATTCGTGCTATTGTAAGTCAACAAGTGAATGTACTTGAACATGCAAGGAAATTGATGGATGGGATCCTGCTCACAGTTGCAGAGGGTACTAACATGGTGTTTCCAAACGAGTTCATGCCATCACTTGCAAACGTGTATGTCTTGTCATGATATATGATTAACCATACAGAAATAGCTCGTGTGGAATTAGTTATAAAAAATTAGAATGGAAGCCTATAAGAAAATCTACGTGGATATCGTTCATTTAGGAAGGCAAATCAAAGACCAAGTTAAATGCTTATAATATACCTAAAACAAATGAAGCGTCAACAGAAAATGTTTGTTTTTGGTAATGTACGCTTAATTATTCCTAATAAGATACGTTTTTACTTTGCTTGAACTCCTAAATTCTATTTAAAAGGTCTATGTTCATCTATACCCTAATCTTTGTTAGGTTTAGTCACTCTCAATGTTGTCACTCCTTAACGAATTTTTAGAGCTAACTTTTTGAATGAGAAAACATTTGAAATTCATGTACTTATATTAAGTTTGTTAAATTTTTGTTCAAATAACCATTTTTAACATATGAAATTAATTGCATCAACTTTTTTCATGAGATTAATGTATTACCTTTTTCAAACAAACAATTAAAAAGGTATAATAGTATTGTTGCTAAGACACATAATAAACATGCACGAACAAAAATGAGATTATCCCAACAAACTTTCTCCCTTATTTCTCATGTGTCCATCTTTTTACATACGAAATGAAACGAGAGCCATCAACATTGTCTTGTACTTCGAGAAGGGTTTATTCAAATTCAATTTGATGTAAATTATGTCCTATTTTCAATTTCATGTTCTCTTGCTATAAGAACCTATTTAATTTTTGAAAAATATTTGACCCTTTTGAGTGAACTAATTATGAAACCACTTACTTGTATTTCAATTGTATTTGCTATCAACATGAATTTATGTCATTTTAATTTCATTTAATAGATTCTTTTCATATAAATTTGTGTCGCAATCTTTGTTATTTTCTTACATTAATAATTTTCGTACCCTCCAATTCGAACATTTACAGTTTACGTGAAGATATTTAAGTCTCCCTTGATCTCATGAAAGTATCAAGTTTGGATGAGAATACAATATCAAAGTGTTTATCAATGGACCAATACAATTTTAATGGACATTGATATGTAAGGCAGTTTGTTTATGTCATCTAATTGATTCACATGAAATAGGGATGGAGGAATGAGGTTTTCAATACTTTTGCTAATTCACAACTCAACTGCGTCGTTGTCCAAAGTGATATGTGGTAATGGATCCTATAAAATCTTGAGCAGAAAACAACTGCTTTACTCTATGGACAAAGGCAGTTTCGCATTCATTACACCCCTTGGCCCCTCCCCTGGATGGGATGTATTGCACTCATTTGATTTGTTTAGATTTAGTGAGAGAGAGAGAGAAATATATATCAAGAAAACACCTATAAGAGGCTCTAGATATGACCTCATAAATTTTTCTAGATGTGTGTGCATATATATATATATATATATATATATATATATATATAGGGTAGCTCTCGCAAATAGATAATTATGGTACATTGAAGATAATTATGCTTTGTATATGTCTCCTTATACTTGTACATATTTATACCATGTATATCAGATACATTGTGATCCTTGTAATATCTATATATTGGAATGGAATACAATCATGAGAGTCACAGATTAATCCAAATTCCGAATATATATATATATATATATATATGTATATGTATTCGGATTCATACGAGAATGATAAACAAATAAAAAAAATAAATGATTATATTACCACAATTTCATTAATAACACCCTAAAGCAAAAAAATTCAAAAATAAATAAATGAATAAGGGTATAAAGGAAATTTACTTATATAAAAATTATTTAAGACATTTATTTAAAACTCTACTTTTTCCATATTTGTGATTTTGATATGATATAATTTTTATTTAAAAATGTTATTTTTTATTTAATGTATTTCAAATAAGTGTATTTAATTTTCATTATTTTTTTATTTAAGGCAATATTTAAAATAATTATGATTTCGTCAAAATCAGATATAATTAACAATTAGTTGATTTTTTATGAAGTTCTTTTCTTTCTTATTTATTTTTAATTGGCCTTTTCTGTTTTCGATGAAAAAGAAAGAAGATGGCTCAGTTTCAGTAGATCCCTCACTTCTTACCGGCTTACGGATCTGTTATTATCATAGAGAAGATAAGGGAAGATCCCCCAGTGGGGTTCATACAAAAATGATAAACAAATAAAAAAAGAATGAATATAAACCACACTTTCATTAAACACCACCTTAAATAGAATTTTTTTTTTCAAAAATAAATAAACTAATAAGGGTATAAAATAAATTTACTTATTTAAAAATTATTTAAAACTCTACTTTTTA